GATGCTTTTTGGAAGTGCCTTCAAGGATCCACATGTATACAAATCCAAGTCCACAAGAGAGTTCAAATTGCCAATGCTCTCTTGAAGAGCCTTCAAGGATACACATCCATACAAACTCAACTGCACAAAAGAATTGAAATTGCCGATGCTCTCTGGAAGTGCCTTCAAGGATCGACATCCATACAAATCCAAGTCCACAAGAGAGTTCAAATTGCCGATGCTCTTTGGAAGTGCCTCCAAGGATCGACAATCTCCCAAATTCAACTTCACAAGAGAGTTCAAATTGCCGATGCTCTCTGGAAGTGGCCTTCAAGGATTCGACATGGTATACAAATCCAAGTCCACAAGAGAGTTGAAATTGTCGATGCTCTCTGGAAGTGCCTCCAAGGATTGACAATCTCTCAAATTCAACTTCACAAGAGAGTTCAAATTGTCGATGCTCTCTGGAAGTGCCTTCAAGGATCCACATCCATACAATCTCAACTGCACAAATGGATTCAAATTGCCGATGCTCTCTAGAAGTGCCTTCAAGGATCGACATCTAAACAAATCCAAGTCCACAAGAGAGTTCAAATTGTCGATGCTCTTTGGAAGTGCCTCCAAGGATTGACAATCTCCCAAATTCAACTTCACAAGAGAGTTCAAATTACCGATGCTCTTTGGAAGTGCATTCAAGGATCAACATGTATACAAATCGAAGTCCACAAGAGAGTTCAAATTGCCGATGCTATCTGGAAGTGCCTTCAAGGATACACATGCAGACAAATTCAACTCCACAAGAGAATTCAACTTGCCGATACTCTCTTGAAGTGCCTCCAAGGATCGACATCCATACAAATTCAACTTCACAAGAGAGTTCAAATTGCCGATGCTCTTTGGAAGTGCCTTCAAGGATCGACATCTAAACAAATCCAAGTCCACAAGTGAGTTCAAATTATCGATGCTCTTTGGAAGTGCCTCCAAGGATTGACAATCTCCCAAATTCAACTTCACAAGAGAGTTCAAATTGCCGATGCTTTCTGGAAGTGCCTTCAAGGATCCACATGTATACAAATCGAAGTCCTCAAGAGAGTTCAAATTGTGGTGGACGACCATGCGCTTGCGAGTGATAATTTGATAGACAAATTCAACTCCACAAGAGAATTCAAATTGCCGATACTCTCTTGAAGTGCCTCCAAGGATCGACATCCATACAAATTCAACTCCACAAGAGAGTTCAAATTGCCGATGCTCTCTGGAAGTGCCTTCAAGGATCGACATCTAAACAAATCCAAGTCCACAAGAGAGTTCAAATTGCCGATGCTCTTTGGAAGTGCCTCCAAGGATTGACAATCTCTCAAATTCAACTTCACAAGAGAGTTCAAATTGCCGATGCTCTCTAGAAGTGCCTTCAAGGATCCACATCCATACAATCTCAACTGCACAAATGAATTCAAATTGCCGATGCTCTCTGGAAGTGCCTTCAAGGATCCTCATCCATACAAATTCAACTTCACAAGAGAGTTCAAATTGCCGATGCTCTTTGGAAGTGCCTTCAAGGATCGACATCTAAACAAATCCAAGTCCACAAGAGAGTTCAAATTGCCGATGCTCTTTGGAAGTGCCTCCAAGGATTGACAATCTCTCAAATTCAACTTCACAAGAGAGTTCAAATTGCCGATGCTTTCTGGAAGTGCCTTCAAGGATCCACATGTATACAAATACAAGTCCAGAAGAGAGTTCAAATTCCCAATGCTCTCTGGAAGTGCCTTCAAGGATACACATCCATACAAATTCAAGTCCACAAGAGAATTCAAATTACCGATACTCTCTGGAAGTGCCTCCAAGGATCGACATCCATACAAATTCAACTTCACAAGAGAGTTCAAATTGCCAATGCTCTCTGGAAGTGCCTTCAAGGATTTACAAACTCTCAAATCCAACTTCACAAGAGAGTTCAAATTGCTGATGCTCTCTGGAAGTGCCTCCAAGGATTGACAAACTCCCAAATTCAACTTCAAAAGAGAGTTCAAATTGCCGATGCTCTTTGGAAGTGCCTTCAAGGATCTACATATATTCAAATCCAAGTCTACAAGAGAGTTCAAATTGCCGATGCTCTCTGGAAGTGCCTTCAAGGATCCACATCCATACAAATTCAACTTCACAAGAGAGTTCAAATTGCCGATGCTCTCTAGAAGTGCCTTCAAGGATCCACATCCATACAAATTCAACTTCACAAGAGAGTTCAAATTGCCGATGCTCTCTGGAAGTGCCTCCAAGGATCGACATGTATACAAATCGAAGTCCACAAGAGAGTTCAAATTGCCGATGCTATCTAGAAGTGCCTTCAAGGATAGACATGCAGACAAATTCAACTCCACAAGAGAGTTCAACTTGCCGATGCTCTCTGGAAGTGCCTCCAAGGATCGACATCCATACAAATTCAACTTCACAAGAGAGTTCAAATTGCCGATGCTCTCTGGAAGTGCCTTCAAGGATCGACATCTAAACAAATCCAAGTCCACAAGAGAGTTCAAATTGTCGATGCTCTTTGGAAGTGCCTCCAAGGATTGACAATCTCCCAAATTCAACTTCACAAGAGAGTTCAAATTGCCGATGCTTTCTGGAAGTGCCTTCAAGGATCCACATGTATACAAATCGAAGTCCACAAGAGAGTTCAAATTGCCGATGCTATCTGGAAGTGCCTTCAAGGATACACATGCAGACAAATTCAACTCCACAAAAGAATTCAAATTGCCGATACTCTCTTGAAGTGCCTCCAAGGATCGACATCCATACAAATTCAACTCCACAAGAGAGTTCAAATTGCCGATGCTCTCTGGAAGTGCCTTCAAGGATGGACATCTAAACAAATCCAAGTCCACAAGAGAGTTCAAATTGCCGATGCTCTTTGGAAGTGCCTCCAAGGATTGACAATCTCTCAAATTCAACTTCACAAGAGAGTTCAAATTGCCGATGCTCTCTGGAA